TGCTGCCCTTTCTGAACAGGGCTGTTATTGCTGTCAAATCCCCTGGATGCTGGGATGTGGAGTCACCTCAGCATATTTCTTATGTCTCATACATCTGTTCAGGTTTAAGAGGGGCTGAAAAAACCCCATCCTGAAGCAGAAAGTGGTCCAGGGCATAGAGGAAAAAAGTGTATCCCAGAGCTTCTTCATCACTGAGAATTTCTCTGTTGCAGAGGAAGCTAACTTCCTCTGTCACTTGTCTTCATCTGCTGCCTAGAGTGATGATGCCAGTTTGGAGTTGCTGAGAATATCTTTTAACCACAATCTTAATATTACTTCTTGGGTGGGAAGCTGTGTAGTGTTTACTGGCTGGTGTTTTACTTTGCCTATGTAGCCATATTTAGCAACCAGGCTGTGTGGCTGGAAAAAAAAATGGGCATTTTCAGTCTCCAGTGCTACCTCGATATATTATAGAGCAGTTTTCAGTTGGATGTGCTCATCCTCACTGAGGCTTTGCACTTACACGCAGGTTTTATATCCCTCGTTCCCAAAGCCCTTGGATAGTGATGGAAAACCATCACTGTGCCATCACAGAGGCAGATGATGGCCCTGCCTGAGGTCTCTCAACAGGTTGGAGGTGGAACCAGGACCCAGATCTCCTGGTTAGAGCTGTGATGCCCTTGTTTTGCAGCACATCTAGCTGGGCACCACAATACCATCTGGGAATACTGAAGCTAGGTTTGTGTTAGCACAGCTGCAGGGAGGTGTGACCATGTATGGGCTGTTTCACCCTCTGGAAACACAAGAAATGAGTTTAGATGGAGCACAACCATGCATAGCCTGATCTGTTTTGGGGATCTGAGCTGCTCTTTCTCCATGGTGCTAAACAGAGCTGGCTGGGTGTGCCACCCTGCCCAGCTGGTTCAGAGCATTTCTGCACGTTATAAACACAGCAGCATGTTGTACGTGTTACCTGTTCTCTGGGTGCTGTATTGTGATGTGCTGTGCTGCAGCCCCTCATCATGAATCCACACTAAGTCAGATAATCAGTTTGATTTTATTTAGTTGTGCAGACTGTGCAAGAAAGAAGTGTGAATGCCCTTGGGTTTGGGGTCTTCCTGGGAGAGCTAAATGCAGCTTCACTTTGGGGAGTGATGAACAATGATCACATGTTGGTAACACCCCATTGAGAGGGCAGAAAAAATACAGGGAGAAATACAGAGAGACAGTTCATTCTTTGTTTGCAAAATCATTTGAGAAATGAGGAAGCAGGCTCAGAGCTGCATGTAGACTTCACATCCCTTTCTGTTATGTTCTGCAGTTCCTTACACCTTTCCACAGTGACTGTTCACCAAGGATCCACGCTGTCCAGAGCAATCATTTGGAGCTAGTCTTCATCACCTTGGAAGGACAGAATGTCTCACATGGCACAGCTCTGAGATGACATGAAGTTGATGGGTCTCAGTTCAGACCCTGGTGGAATGCTACTGGGGGATGAGTATCTGGAATATCTCTGCCTCATGGTGTGGTGCAGCTACTGGAGATGACAGCAGAGCATTGCATTGCCAAAAGTGTGTCAAAAGCTTCAGTCTTTAGAGGGTGGAATGTCAGTCAAAAAAGCTGATTTCTAGACAAACAATAATATTAGCTTTCAATACAAACCATCTAGTTCTGGTTTTATCTCATGCTTTCGGGAGAAGCATTTAAATGTTTTGTAGAGATGTGTAGGACACCTTGAAAAAAGCTATTAGTTCTTTAACACTGATCTTCAATGAATCAGAAGCTTCTTGGAGATGTGAGACAGAACTATGCCTTTTCCTTTTTACATGTTGTGGATGTGTTTCTGAGTTGCTCAACACATGGTCGTTGGGATGTGTTACCTGAAGTTTGATTTATGTTCACTGGTAGTTTTATTTATAAGAAAGCATTTACCATTAGCTGTATGGAGCGGCAGGTTTTTTCTGGCCTAGCAATGAGCTGGGGGAAAACTAAGCAGAGCTCTCTCACCTTTACCAGGCCTGGGGAAGCATCTCTGCACATAGATAAGTCTGTGCTGGATCTCTTGACAGAAAGACTTCATACTCCTCCTTTCCCTCAGCTCTCGATCCCATCCTCTTCCATTAGGTTCAGGTGTTACTGCAGCATCTTTTCAGTTCAGTTGTGTTGGAAAAAGTTGGTCAGCGCCAATGAGAAGAGATGGTAGATGGTGACATTCCCTCTCTAGAGTGATAGGTTCATCAATACCTATGTTTAGTAGGTGATTCTTTTCTTACAGCAGGTGGCAAAGCTTTGCCTGCAAAGGTCTGATGTTCATTCCCCTGTGGATTCCCTTTGGTTTGGCTCTAAGCAGTGCTCTCCCAGGAGGGGCTGATTCCATCATGTGCAAGGTCACCAGGGAAAGGAAAGTCCTGCTGTTCATTCAAGCCTGAGTTCTTCTGCTCTGTTTCTCTGTTCTTCCTACTGTTGCCAATGATGAAGATCAGCACAGCCACCATGAACTTAGTAACCAGGAATCCAGCAATGATATAGAAGACAGTGAAATCAGCTTCAGGAGGGATGCTGTGGGGAACCATAAATACAACAATGAAGGGGGTGCTTCAACCTTTAAAGGAACTCTTGCAGTATACAATGTGAAGGTAACATCTCCTGCAACAAGCAGTCTCTGCCTGCACACGACAGAGCCTGGGAGGTTAGAACAACTATAATAAGTTATCTCACATCCAGATAAATTATGGTCTGCAGGAGCTGTTTTGCTTGGCACTGAAGCTCTGCATTTTCTGGATTAGGATGAAGCTGCTGTTTAGAAATCACACAGCAGCTCTAAGAATTGTCATAGATTAGGAAGAGATAGAGGATATGCCTGTGGTGAGTATTTCTCTCGGCTTCAAATTGGGTTGCTGATGCTAATCTGCCTTAGTCCTAGGAAGGTGAGAGATCACAGCATGAGGAGTTTTATGGTTTACCTGGAGATGCTCCTCACAGCACTGGGCTTCTCTGGCACTTGGGTCTCCAGGACAGCTGATGATAGAAACAGAACAGTTGAGTCACAGATGTTTCTGGGTGATATTCATTGGTGTCACCAACACCAGTGCCCCAGCTAGGCATAGATAACCAGGGTGAGAGTGAGTGCTAGATTAATCTGGGTAGCAATAAGGGAATGACATGTGTTAGAAGTCCTGCAGCAGTGAGGTCATGTTACTGTAAATCAGGAACTAAAAAGAGGCAGTGAAACACAGTACCTCCTTAGAGCAGGACAAAAGTAGATGTTTACCAAAGTGAGACCTTGGCATCTGCAGGCACACATGGAATTTAAGTAGGAACTCAAGAAACTCAGAGCCCCAGGACATACCTGTCAGCACTTCCACTTGCACCTTCCTTAAGCTGTTTGTTTCCCCCAGGTAGTCACTTTTGCACTGGTATAACCCAGCATCCTGCTTCTTGAGTCGCTTCATGGTCACTGTCAGGACCCCTTCATGGACATTGTCACTGATGGAGGTGCTGCCGTTCCTGTTCTTTAGGAATGGCAGCCAGAAGCGTCGGGCGCTCACCACGTGTTGGCACTTGGTCTCATCGACCTGCTTGCACCAGCTCTTTTCTCTCCACCGCTGCTTCCAGGGGTTATAGGTGCAGTTGACAGAGATGGTGCCCCCCTCCATTCCATACACCACAGTGACATTCTCTGCAGCATGGGATGCTAGGAGAGAAGGAAGAAGTGGTGAGCCAGATGGGGCTGTTCAGCCTGGAGAAGAGAAGGCTCTGGGGAGATCTTATAGCGGCCTCCCAGTACCTGAAGGGGCTACAAGAAAGCTGGGGAAGGACTTTTCATAAGGGCAATTAATGACAGAACAAGGGGAAATGGGTTTAAACTGAAAGAGGGGAGGTTTAGATTAGATATTAGGAAGAAGTTCTTCACTGTGAGGGTGGTGAGACACTGGAACAGGTTGCCCAGAGAAGCTGTGGCTGCTCCTCCCTGGAAGTGTTCTCGGCCAGGTTGGATGAGGCTTTGAGCAACCTGGTCTAGTGGAAGGTGTCCCTGCTGCTGGCAGGGGGGTTGGGACTGGATGATCTTTAAGGTCCCTTCCAACCCAAACCAGTCTGGGGTTCTATGAAATGTAATTTTCCTCTTTTACAGCTCTAGTGCAGGCTGCTGTCAACTGCAGGGCTGTTCCCTGTCTGCTTCCCCCATGAAAGATCCAGTGTGCTCAGATTCAGAGTCTTGGTTCAGACTTTCTTGAAATATGTCCGTAGAGGTCCCTCTGACTGGTGTGTTACTTGGCTCTTGCCAGGCAGCTGTTATTGTGTGAGGGACTGAGGGAAGGAGGAGGTATCAGCTTCATTAATATTTGCAGATTTTTCTGAAGCTCAGGAAATTTTGGTCCTCGCCTTCCTTTCTGGTGACTGCTCTGCATTGCAGTCTGGAGCTCAACCACATCACACTTTCTGTAATCATTGGGCTCCTGCCCAGTAAGGGGAAGCAGTTTGTCAGCATGATTAGGGGATTAAATATAAACTTGCATTTTCCTGTGGTTCTGAGGAGCATGAACCTGGGCATTCAGGTAGATTGAGTTGGCATCAGGCAGGCTGTCTTGATTTTTAAAAGCTCTTTTTTCCAAGGCAGCTCATAAAAACACCATTTGACCCAATAAGGACAAATTGTTTCTGTGTAACTCTTATTAGACTGGTCTGGCTTTGCCACATCCAACCTGCTTACTTGCACACAGCTGCAGCAAGGCAGCTTGCTTCAGGTTTTGGCCTTGAGCTCAGCCCTTCCACAGACGTTCATAGATGCAGATTTGACTCTGGAGTACCCTCTGCTGCAGAAAAGATCTTTTGCAGTAAATGCCCATGAAGTTTATCCCCATTTTTAAGGCTCTACACAGCCAGAGAGAAGCAACACAGCCCTGGAAAATGCTAGAATCACAGTGACACCTACAAAGCAATGCCCAGGTAGCCGTTTAGGAGGTTACTCCTTAATCCCACTCCTAATTTCTAAATCCAAGGTTTTAGCATTAATTTTCACCTTAGCTTTTAATATCCTACTTATATTTTAATCATGTTGTCAACTGGTCTTTGGCTGCTTGGCTTTTTTTTTTTTTTTCTGCCTTAGTTCCTTAATTCTAATTTCCATTCCTCTTTATGCCAGGCAAAAGCAGAGGGGACAATCTGAACTATTAATATATCCAGAGAGAAGTACAGCGTGGTATTTGTGGAAATCTCTGTATTTCTAGTGAAAAAGTTCAGAGGCTGGTGCCTTCTGCAAAACCCAAAGTAATGAGAAAACAGAAGTAAATTAAAAAATAGGCTCTTGTGAGGACTTTCTGCTGGCTGACCCTTTTAATAACACCTCTTAAAATAATTTCAACCATTCTAAGTGAATTATAAACTAAAAAATCTGAAGATCTTTCAGACTTTACTAGAAGAAGGCACAAAAATGGATCTGTGCTCTCCAAGTATCCAACACCTACAACTTCTGGGCTGGGATTCCAGCTGCTCCAGCCAGCAAGGC